AGTCTTTATCTCTGGTAAATATGACAAATGTTGTTTTAAAGCCATTTCTTTGCAAGCAAATACATAAAAAGGTTTTTTGCTCTTGTTATTTGCATTCAGATAGCACTGACAGCCTTCAGTTATGTGTCTATTCAGTCTCACTGAACACAAATTGATTGTTGAAAGTTTGCGCTCTAACAGAATCTTCAGCCTGAACTTTATTAATGATGAAGTGAAGTCATTTACTGTGATTAAACCATTTTAACGAAATGACAAAACACTAGATCTCAAATCTGTTTCTGGTCTAACCAAGCTGCTATTCATCTAATATTTTGCTCATTAGATTTTTTTATTTCTAATTGCCTTCGATAATATGTTGATTACTCAGGTAAAATTAAGGCTAAAAAATTGCATCACTGTTTATATGAAGTCCTTTCAGAGCCTCAGGATAGCTTTTAGCCAGGAGAGAAACATCATTATCTGATTGTTGGGATGGATTTCTTGCATCTATACCTATCTATAAATCTATAATATTGACATTTAATTACATTCTTTTTAGATTATTTCTATCATGTTGTTTAGAGTTTATTAAAATATTCAAGTCTATGAATAACCTTAAAAATACCTGTGAAATATAAATGTTAATGTAAACTGTTCACTGAAAAGTATTTGTTAGAAAAGATATTTGCAAAAAAAAAAAAAAAAGACTGTTACTCTGTGTTTGTCTGTGTGAGATTCAGATGAAGTTTCAGTTCAGTCTAATTGAGGGAGGTTTTTGTACGACTGTTTTTCACTGTGTGAACACCCACTGACTGTTGATGAGATGAGAACTCTGACAGTAGTAAACTGCAGCATCTTCAACCTGAACTTCACTGACGGTCAGAGTGAAGTCAGAGTTTGATCCACCATCTTTAAACCGATTTGGAGTGCCTGAGACTCGGTTGCCAACATTGTAAAAGAGCAGCTTGGGAGTTCCTCCATTTTTCTGTTGGTACCAGGCTAAAAGGTTAGAACCATAAACATTCTGACTGGTTCTACAGTTGATGGTAAAAGATCCTCCCAGATCAGCTCTCACTGCTGCAGGCTGAGTCACTGTGACCTGACCTCTGGACTCTGAGGACACAGAGACAAAAACATAAAGCAGCTTCATGGTTTGT